AAACATTAAGAACTTTTACTATTAACTATTAAGCACTCTTCCCGAAATCACTTTCAAAAGTGATTTTTTTAGTAAAAGTAATTGCAAACACTCCCATGAATGCTACTAATGCAAAGCCCAGGGTGGTAGTACGTCAATTTGATGTGGATTAATAAAAAAAAATCGATAAAAAATATTGTGAATCATTTGTAGGATTCAAAGTTGAATATAGTGAATTTTTATTAACTAAAAAAAAGGATGACACCCCATCCCTAAGGGCCCCCAACACCGATCGGACGGCGCGATGGGAGGATGTAAATTGGACTATAATCACAATCTGACAAATAAAGAGTGAGACCCTGTCCCCGGTACTTGCAAAGACCCTGTGTTGAGTAACCTCTCATTGCAGTTGTCAGGGGTCAAACCCGGGACCTAACCCTTGTGGCACTCCCTTGCTACCAGTTGAGCTACGCCCACCGGTAAATGTCTTGAAGTTCAACTTTTATTAACTAATCGAGACCAATTATAAATAAATATAAATATAAATATAAATATATATATATATATATATATATATATATATATATATATATATATATATATATATAGAGGGCAGTTCACATCTGGAGTTCCTGATGAGAAGCCCCGTGCGGACAAGACCATCAGAGGGTCTTCCCGGTGGAATTTTTTTATGAAAGTTTTTGAGCATGTTCTTCATCAAGTCTAGTTTGTCCATACCAAATTTCAGCTCAAAATTCGATCGGGAAGGCAGTCAAATAAATCCTGGAAAACTATGGCTCATTCTGTGCACATATAAAGTGCAGTATGTTTCCGGGATTTATTTGACTGCCTTCCCGATCGAATTTTGAGCTGAAATTTGGTATGGACAAACTAGACTTGATGAGGAACATGCTCAAAAAATTTCATCAAACAATTCCACCGGGAAGACCCTCTGATGGGCTTGTCCGCACGGGGATTCTCTTCAGGAGCTCCTGATAGGAACGGGACTCTCTCTCTCTCTCTCTCTCTCTCTCTCTCTATATATATATATATATATATATATATATATATATATATATAAGTATTTGCAAAATGATTATTAACTTATAGGGGTATATTTTTACAATTTAGTCCATATTAAGGTTTTTAATTGTGGTCACAGTTGTGATTATGGTCACTGCAGTTCCAGCTACTGTGGCCGATGCGGTGTGAATAAATTTTATATTCAATGGAGTAAAAAATAAATTAATCAAGGCCATGTCTGGTATCGTTTTGAGTCTTTTTTTTCTTCTTGAAAACAAAAACTATTTTCAATTTTTTATTTCCAGAAACCGTTTTGATCTTTGTGTTCATTCATCTTGGCTTTTGTCATTCCTAGAAGTAAATAATTACTTTTCGTATGAAAAGTATACTTCGTACTCCCTCCGTATCAAATTAATTGACCCGTTTGCTTTTCACGCAGTTTAAGACAATTACTGTAGACTTTATTAAAAGTAAGAGGTTTTTGGTACTGTAGCGACACTGTAGCGGTACTGTAGCAGTACTGTAGCTGCTTTTTGAGTGGGATTCTTTCCAAAAAGGGAAATGGGTCAATTAAATTGATACACCAAAAAAGGAAAGTGAGTCAATTAATTTGATACGGAGGGAGTATCATTTTCTAGAACATTGCTCTACATAAGTACATATCAAGTCTGGTAGCAGACCAGTGGCTGCGAGAGTCGAAAAATTTCTGGTGATCGTGATGGCGTCAGGAGGTGGCCCGACAGCAATCGCAGGCAGCATTATGGTGGCGGCTGGTGGTGTCCTGATGGCAGCGTTATGCCGGTGTTCGGTGGCAATCTGTTGGCGACTGGCAGCCCGATGGAAATCGCGGGTGTAATGTTGGTGTCCGGTGCCCGATGGGAATCGACGACAACAGTCCAGTGGCAGCCCTATGGTGATCTACCAGACTACCATGGCAGCTTGATCGATGGTCCGACGGTGGCCACTGACACTATGGCAGCAATTCGGCGATAGTCTAGCTGTGGCCAGGGGTTGTCCGGTGGCGGCCGACATTGGTCTTATGGTGGTTGCACTGATCTAGAGGCGGCCGACATTGGTTTGGCACATTGATGCCCTTCCAAATTTTCGATAAATCGAAATTTAAGCAAAGCATCAGTGTACCGAAAATTAATGGCAATGTCAAAGTAAAATTTCACATAAATTCAAAAAGGGAAAACTGTCTCCTCAAACTTTCAGAAAAAAGTCAATTAAGTCCTTCTATAAGAGACTCTGTCCGGCCGTCGCGATTTGGGGCGGTTCTCGGTGGAATCTTTTGATGAAGTTTTTTGAGCATCTTATTCATCAAGTCTAATTTATTCATACCAAATTTTAGCTAAAAATTCAACTGGGAAAGCATTCAAATTAATTCGAGAACGCAAAAATGCGCAGTTATCTTCAAGAATTAATTTGGATGTGTTCCTGATTGAATTTTTAGCTGAAATTTGGTATGAGTAAACTAGACTTAATGAATAAGATGCTAAATAAAATTCATCAAAAAAATCATTGGGAACCACCCCAAATCACGACGACCGGACAAAACATCCTATAGAAGGACTTAATTGATTTTTTTATGAAAGTTCGAGGACCTATTTGACAGTTTTCCCATTCAAAAATTATTAACGAAAACCTACAATAAATACCAATAATAACTCATGTATATTGTATAACTAACTACTGAATGCTCAATTTTTAAACACAAAATATGATAACTTATAATAATGTTCAACCCTATTCAAGAATCAAGGGAATCAAGGCTATGCAAATTTAAAATGTCAAAACACATTAATTCCAACAAAAAATAAGTTTAAGTACATATTTAAATGCAATTATAGCATAGAATACATTATAAAGCAATATAGATGAAGAAGTTGGAATTCTGAAATCCACATGGTCACTAAACTCGTGGCTACCATTTGATCGTTCCTTAAGCTCTCAAAAAAGAAAGAAAAGGGTGAAAAAACAATTCAAGGGGAATGAACAAAGACTCGCTTGTATGTAGACATATTGTCATCAAAATCGATCATAGAATCAAGAAAGGGTCATATAGACCCTTCTATTATATCAAACAAGTCACTCCAACCCTTCTACTAAAAAAAACCATCACATAGATACCCTTACTATTGAAAAAGCATCAAATAGGTCAAGTCCATCAAGATACCGGGTGAATATGGCTATAGCAGGCCATGGGTTGATTTCACATATTTTTTGCATTTTCATTAGTTTTTCATTTTTCTTTTTCTTTCTTGTGTCTGCGCTTTATACAGTAGTTCGTACAATCGTATGTAGTACTTCCTCCGTTCTTTAATAAGTGCAACACTTTCCATTTTCAGAAGTTTCAAATTAAATGCAACCTTTCTATTTTGGGAAAGAAATTCTAAGTTAATTGACTTTTATACCCTTCCATATTAAACCGCCCTTCTTGTTCCATTTTTTTACTTTTTCTTTAATTTCTCCACTCACTCATTATTCCATTCTTCTTTGATTTAAAGACTTGGCTCTTTCCTCCGTATCATCTGCGATTCTCATTCACACACTCAACCAATTCTCCAATTCTTTCCCATCATCTCCCTCATTTATTTTTCTTTTTTCTGATTTCTATTTTAATTATGGCCAAAACGGAAGACATGGGTAGACATAAAACCGATTTTGCTCCGGTTACTCCTCCACAAGCTTGAGAGGCACAGCGATAATGGTGGCCTCTAGGCGGCGGCCGACTGCTGCGGCGTCTGGGCTTGCTGGTTTAAGCGGACAAGGGGGTGCGGAGCTGGCTTCACGCCGGGGGAGGAGGATGGAGTCTTACCGGAGTTTAGGCGAGAAAGGGGGTCTTCTGAAAGTGAGCAGTATGCTCGAGCATGCTGTTTTATTTATTGGCTGTAACTCTTTAATAATTGTATCGTACTTTAGTTACTGTAGCACTTTCTTTGTGTGGCAGACTGGCAGGTACTTTCCTATTTGGAAGGGTTAAACCGTGAAGTCGAATACCCTTACGCAATCTCTTAATCTCTGTGCCCAAGTGCATGTTGCACTTATAACCGAACAGAGGAAGTATTTGCTAGGTAACTACGTATACGTAGTTCTCAAATCTCAACCTCCTGACCAGGGGTGGACTCGGGCCCGGCCAGGCCTCGGTTCATGAAAGGGGAGGCCCGGAACCGGCCCGGCCCGGGTACCCCCCGAGTTCGGGTCGGGCCGGGCCAGGCCGAGCCTCAGTTCAATTTATATATATATATATATATATATATATATATATATATATATATATATACACATATACATATATAGAGAAATATTCAGGTCAGGTATACCTGACCACTGCCCCCGTCCGGCCTCCTCCATTTGGGGGTCTTCCCGATGGTATTTTTTGCTCAAATTTTTTGTGTAGGTTCCTCATTAAGTCTAGTTCATCCATACCAAATTTCAGCCAAAAATTCAATCGGGGAGGTCGTCAAATGATTTTTGCAAGTTAACTGGTCCGGAATATGTATTTTCCGGACCAGTTAACTTGCAAAAATCATTTGACGACCTTCCCGATAGAATTTTTGGCTGAAATTTGGTATGGATGAACTAGACTTGATGAGGAACATACACAAAAAATTTGAGCAAAAAATACCACCGGGAAGGCCCTCAAAAGGAGGAGGCCGGACGGCGGCTCCGGTCAGGTATACCTGACCGGAAGATTACTCTACATATATATATATATATATATATATATATATATATATATATATATATATATATATTTGGCTTTTCCTAATTAACCCCCAACCCTCCCCCCTCACGGCCTCCCTCAAACCACCCCAAACCACCTCAAATGGCCTTAAATACCAAGCTCAACCCAAAAACTTAGAAAAATTCAAAAAGAAAAAGAAAATAAATTGGCCCGGACCAGGCCCGAACCGGCCGGGCCGGTTCACCTTTTGAGGGGCCTGAGCCCGGACCGGAACCCAAACGGGTCGGGCCTACCCGAACCGGTCCCTGGCCGGGCCGGCAGTTTGGGCCGGTTCAAACAGTGACCGGTTCGGGCCGATTCTGGGCCGGGCCGCCCGGCCCGAGACCAGGCCTACTCCTGACTAACATTCTTGTTTTCCTCCTCTATTATTTTCTCTTTTCGTTTTTTGTATTTCTTTTCATTTTTTGACTTCCACTAAAATGCAAAAATCGCCTCCCCTTGTCTTTACTTTACTGAATCTAAGAGAAAGCGGATTGTGTCTTTAATTTTGAGAGCTTAAAATTAAAATTCCCAAATTAGAACTAACTTCCTGTCCTACCCTTTCCCTTATCATTCTAAAAGGATTTAAAAAAATAAAACATAGAATAAGTCAAATAAAGAAAATAAATACATTTATAACTCTGATGTTATAAATATATTATTTTTTATATTTAATGATTAATTTGTCACTTAATATTGTTAATTGTTTTTTAAAATGGAAATATATATGAACCTTTATATGAAACGTCCAAAAAGGGAAAGTGAGAATATTTCTATGGAACGGAAGGAGTACTAGTACAATATAAAACTTCGTCTGAATTTTTTTTGCCCGTACCAAACATATGTTGTTTATAAAATTAGATTTTTTCTATCGACGTTTTTTCTATAACCTTGCTTTGCTTAACCTTTTTGAAAATGTGTAAAAAAATTATACAATTTTTATCTTGTCTGAATCATTTTTTCTGTAGTAGACATTTGTTATCTACGGAGTAGGGCTGGACTCGGACCGGGCGGCCCGACCCGGGACCGAACCGGCCCGCTCACTGTTTGGCCCGGCCCGGCCCGTGGCCCGGTGGGTCCACCGGTTCGGTTTGGCCTGGCCCGGGTGCTGGGCGGTCCGGGCTCGGGCCCAGCTTTTGGTGAACCGGCCCGGCCGGTTCGGGCCCGGTACGGGCCGGATTTTAATTTTTTAATTTTTTTTTTTTGAAATTTTTTTAAGTTTTAGGTTGGATTAGGTATTTTGGGCCATTTGAGATGGTTTGGGATGATTTGGGGTTGAGGGGGAGGGTAGGGGATTAAATAGGAGAACAAAAAAAAATTAATTGGGCCGGAACCGGAACCGGAACCGGCCACCGGCGGTTCGGGCTCGGGCCTCCCCTTTCCTGGCCCGAGGCCCGGCCGGGCCCAGGCCCGAACCGGCCCGAGTCCAGCCCTACTACGGAAGTAGGGAGTATAAAATTAGATTATCCGGCTAATTTTTTTTACTTTTTACCGACAACTAAGAGACTATATTTCAATATCACAAAAGCACTATGAAATACTTGTATTAAAGAAGATTTAAATAATTAAATACCATTCCTCTTATGTTTTCATAAATCACGTTTTTCTTTATTACTCCGTACTACGTATTTCTCACTTCTAAACTACTATTCATTAGCTTCTTCCCTACAAATTTATTTATTTATTACCTTTTTCTTTTAAGTTACACTTGTCCATTTATGGAAATCTAAAAAAAATGAACAAAAAAGAAAAAAATGAAAATGAAAAGAAAAGGGAAAGAAAAGGGAAATCAAGACAAAAAAAATACACGTACGTTTTCAAAATAAAAAAGGAAAGAAAATTGATACTCCACTACTATACGTATATGAAAGACAAAGAAAAAAAAATAAAAGAAAAATCCCATCTACGACCCTACGTACATAAGTGAGTACGGAGTATGAAAGGAGTTCAATAAAAACCTTTACCTGCTGCAACAAGTCATTCCAGGTCACATTGGGTTAATTGATCTTTTTTAGAGAGTAGGTGTATCTATATGATGCTTAATTTTGTTCAAAGGTTTATGTGATGATTTCGAAAAAGTAGACGGACTTATTTGACCTTTTTTTCCTAGAATCAATGAAACTTTTCTCAGTAAAGCATAGATTTACTTTTTTTGTTGCAAATTGATCCGTTACAGACTTGCAGCAAACAAAGTATATTTGTTCCATAAGTTCATGCTTCACAAGATAAAAGAAAGCAGGCACGTAATGATACACAACTCACACAAGTCGTGTTTAATGTGAAGACCAACATAGAATAGAGCAACTAATTATACGGGGATAAAGGGATATTTATGAAATGACTACTTAAAATGAATGAAAACCTCAATACTCTGGTTTTGAAATTTCCAATTTCCATACTTTTTCAATTCTATCTTTTTCGGACAAAACTGACCAATTTAGAGTGCTGCCCTCAACCACAAGCCCTTACTGGCCATATTACTCTGCAGCTACAATGCAGTATTTAACATCCTGTTTAAACTTTAAACTCAGGCAAACAACCATATACAAAAACACTGAAACCAAATAATCTGCAGATTCAACACACAAGACCTTACTGGCCATATTATTCTTCAGCTCCAATCATATTTTTCTATTTAGTAAAATAAAATAGATAATCTCAAACCAACTGATAAACTGGTTGGGATTGAAGTAATGCAGATCCAATATGCAAAAACTCAAACCATTTAAAATCAATATCAGAAATGGAAGAACATGCTTATACAACAAAACATAATAATTTAGTAATTTACTGGATGCACAAATGATTTTACCCAATGGCAATTATTCTGCCAACTGAAAATTGGAACATGTCTATGCCTGAGAGGAAGTCTGAGAACATTCATGAGTCGCATTTGCATCTGTAGAAGAAATATAAAGATGCATTAGATAATTTAGATTATTATAAAAATTTATCATTTAAATCTAAACTTAATGCAATAAAAAAGCTTTACTCTTTTCAATTTCTTCAATCTCTTTATACAAGTCAAGGTCATCATCTGTTGGATCCTTATAAAAGCTGAAATCCTCTGCTCTGAATCAATCATTCGTACAAACCAAAGCTTCAACTATTTTAGGACTTAAAATGCTTCTAAAGGGATTGACAACCCTTTTGCTTAAACTGAGAGCAAACTCACTTGCAAATGTTGAACTAGGTATTGCAAAAATATCTTTTGCAATTAATGAAAAATTCGGGTACCTAGTTTCACTTCCTTTCCACCATTCTAAAAGATTAAAAGATTGATTAGATCTTTTCTCAATCTCATCAATTAGGTACTTATCTACCTCATTAGAAATCTCTTGGAGTTGCTCTTCAACGTCACTAAATAATTCATCTCAAAGACCATCACCCGCACTACTAGTACCATTTCCACTATCCAACTCTAATTGCATACTTTGCCGCTCAACATTAATGGTCTGGATCATTTATGCCTTTGTATTCTGCCCACAGAGTTACTAAGTCACTTTTAACTTTATTAACAAAATCTTGGACCTTTGTAGTAGTATCTGGAAGTTTCTTATACTTACTTTAACCATCTGGAGCTTGTTTCTTAGGTCCAAAATATTGCTAATAAAAATTAAAGGATTCATAGTATTCCAATCGCCCCAATACTTTTTAAACTTTAACAACATTGAAATATCCACATCCTTGAGAATTGGGTCAGAATTGTCATTTTCCTTTTTTTCAATCTCAATTTGTAGTGCAATCATGGAATGATAAAGCAACTGGGAGGTGGGAGTTTTTTATGCACTTAACTCTAAGGTGACATCATATAACTTTTTTTAGTAGTGCACAAAAGCTTTAGCATTCTCCCAATTTTCATGACCTGGAGGTCCTACCCGTACTTTACCCTTTTCGTTTTTTCACGAAAGTACTTCATAAATGGTAACCACTCTTCAACCATCTTTTCGAACACCTTCCTAAATTTCAATGCAACTCCAAGCATTTTATAAGTTGCATTCACCTTGTTTTGGTATAACTTTGCTAGTATGACAAACTCTCCAAATTTATGCAACCTAGATGGTGAAGAATGAATGAAGAGAACATCGAGTATAGATTCAATTAGAGCATTGAGTTCTTTGAGACCATTCTTAACAATCAAATTGAGTATATGACATCCACCCCTTAGATGCAAATAGTTTCCTTCAAATAACAATGTAATTTCAATTTTCATTCTCTTTTTCAAGTAGTCAATTGCTATATCATTTGAAGAAGCATTGTCAACTACTATCGAAAATACTTTTTCTATCCCGACTCTCTTAGACAAACCTCAACCACCTTACCAATATCTTCCCCAATATGATGCGTGATTTTCGTGAAGTTAATTATTCTTTTGTGCAATTCCAATCATTGTCCAAAAGTGGGCAGTGACAACCATGTAGTTTATGTCTTGAATGGAAGTCCATGTATCGGTTGTGATACTTGCCCTTTGCCCACTAATCACACTTTATTTTAACTTTCTCAACTAAAAATAAGTCGTCAACCATATCTGCCACTTCTTATGATCTGGTATTCTGAATCTTGGTTGCAATTCATGCACAAGACTTCCAAAGCCCTTCCCTTCAGCAGCTCGGAATGACATTTCATCGATAATAACATATTCAGTAACCTTCAATGCACACCTTTTTTTATTGAAAGTATGAGAAACCAATTCACTAACCCGTCTCATTGTCTCATTTGTCAATACAGGCTGACTTTTATCACTTTCACTTGCTTTGTACAAGGGACTTGATTTGCACCTCTTCTCTAAATGGTTTTTCAAATTGCTAGTACTTCCATGACTCGCTGGGATCTGCGCCTGACAATACTTGCAAGTTCCGATTGGTTGAACGGTGCCATCCATCAAGGTCCTTGACCCTTTTTGACAATGACTCCAAAAGTTGCTTCGACTTTGAGAAACATGAGGCTTAAGTGTTGCTGATTTGTTCCTTGCTCGTTTTCTGCTACTAGCAGCTTTCCGTGTTTCAGATTCTATGTGATTAGATGGATTTGTAAGAGAATGAGATGATTGAGATTCCATTCTTCTGAAATCAAAACAAATCATTAGTTTATGAGATGTTAAACAACCATATTTGTTTATTATATAAATATATATCTATATAATTAATATGACCTGCATTCGAGAATTGGAGATTAGATATATGACTTTGTAAGTTGTCCCTTGTGGCAGAGTAAATTAAGTTCTCTTTGCTCAATATATGATTCAATATTATTTTTTCCTAAAAGTACTGCATCCATTAATGAAGCTATTAGAAAGCAAACTACAAACAATTCAGAAAGTGGAAAAAAAGTAGAAACAAAGAGAGAAAATATGAGGTAGCCCTCTGACCGCTTACAAAGAAAATACAAGGTAGCAACCTATCAGAAATCAATATATCCAGTTCATTCATTACAATATACAAATAAGCTGATCTATAAATCATCACAGATTCCAACTTAGACCATATATTACAAAAATAATATTAAAAGATGCAAAATAATATTAAAAGATGCAAGATGAATTAAAATTAAAAGATGCAAAATGAAAAATATAGATAAAACTTATTGACTCACGGATCTACTCTTTTAGTGAAAGAGACAGATGTTACTGCTGATTAGTGCACATGAATTTAATCATAGTAAAGAGAGAGACACTAAAGGTTAAGATCCTTTAAAAAAAAATAAGCAATGTTGTATGATTAGATTAATAGAGATCACATGTTATTCCACAGGATGGAAAGAGGTAAACTGATTAAATTGAACAATCAGGACAGCATGCGAGTTTTGCAGAATGTGCTATTTACTTTAACCTGCCACTGATTGCTACTATGAGAAATGGATGCACGAGTTTACAGAGGTTTCATGCATGAGACTCACTTTGCAAAATAGAGAATGATGCTAGACTAGGAAATATCATTTCTGAAACGGGTAAAGGCAGTTGATCATATCAACCATAAAAACAATGCAACTGCAAAGTGCAAAGGCGACATACTAATATTGAAATTTGCAGCAGGTGGAGTAACTATTGCATCTAGCACATGTAGCCATTAGCCAACCCTGATTCACTTCCCTTACAAATAGGTCATTGAACATGTGTTTTATATCCAAAATCGAATGAAAAGGCTCAAAAGAGTCACTTTCTTAATCAAGGTTCTACATGGTTAATGGGGCATACAACAAATTGATACTTTTCTATTGCAACTTTTTGCTTGCTAAGTCAATTTATTCAAGTGTATACAGCAAGTTGGAACTGATATTATGTTTTAAACTTGGAATACACAAAAAACCCACATAACGTTTAACTTAACAGATTTAGTATTCTTTCCAAATCTTCTGATGGAGATCCTCCTATAGAAATCCAGGTAATACACTGTTTGCATTGCCATGTCAATTGCAACCAACACCCAATGATTGCTACATATCACATTTTTGTAAATATCTCATACAAAATCCTACTATATACAAAAGGGAATGGAACACCAAGTGATTTTCCCGCTCAAAAGAGTCACATTTACGTTGAAGTGGATGAATAAAAATGTAAATATGAAAGAAAATAGAGACAGACCAATTACTACGTAGAACCATTGTTCATGCACTGTCTATTCCAAAAGTTAATCAGGCACACCAGTAAAGTTGAATAATAGCTGTAGTCTAATGACTCTAATCTATCCATATACGGAGTACACAAGAAAAATTTTAGCTACTGTACTCTCGCCTAAGGACCTCCATGTTAAGACGATACCCACAATCTCACTATAAAAAGACTCACTACCATTTAAAATTTCAATTAAAAAGAGCACCAGACAACGGTTTCTCTTCGAATAGAGTGTAGGGTGATTGCAATTAAATGCTTCTTAGTGATTGAAATTAAAAGAAAAATCATAAAAGTTATTCCCTCTGTTCCCAACAACTTTGTCAAGTTTGACCGGCACGAGGATTAATAAATTAAAAACTGTGTGGTTGAGGTTTGTGCAGATGAAAGAAAATTAACTGGAACCACAAATTCTTTACTTAAATGAGATAGTGGCAAAGTTAATGGGACATCCAAAGTTGGCAAAGTTATAAGGGACGGAGGGAGTATTTAAGTTCCTTGTGAAGAAAGCTCTAGGATTTTTTATTCAATATATCAACCAATTTCATCTGACAAAAATATACAAAGTAATATTGCAATTGTAATATACTCACTTCTTATTTTAAGGAAAACTACATTAGGATTGTCGCACAATATTTAAGGAGGAAATATTAGATGTAATGAATTGTGTTCAAAAAGTTGTGGAAAAAGTGAAAAAGAAAATAAAAAGTAGAAAAAATAAAAATAATTGAATGTTTTTTTTACAGAAAATGTAGCAAAATTTAGAGTCTGTTTGGTTATACTAAAATTGGCTGAATTTGCTGATTCAACTAGAACAAGTACAAATTACTAACAAACAATGTTAAATATCAAACTAGTTATGCCTAAAACATAATTTAAATATATTCAAAGTAATACTTGAAATTATCAAATAGGAACTTATGATCTCGCTCAAATCTGAACCGTAGAGTTTGTAACCTCGTCAAAGTTCATGACCAACCGGCAAACTTGCTTTGAAATAATGCCAATTATATTGTGAATTTTATAGGTAATATTAAGATGATGAAGTAATAAATAAAAAAACAAACCATGATATTATCCAACGTAAATACGGAGTAATACCAATGATATTGTTAATTTTATAAGTAGTACTATACTGTTATACTAAATTTCCTATCTAAATCGATCAAACCATTATCTATTTTACAAGTTTTTCTAAAAATTGATAGTAAAAAATTTTCCTGCCCTGTTCCTTTATATTCCTCCCTTTCTAATAGTGGACAGTGGACGACGCCTTTCTGAAAATATAAATGAACTCTAACAAAACTGAAGTATTAAATTACTTTGAAATTAAAGTGTCCAAGAAAAAAGAAAACCAACCAAAGCACCCAAATGACTGGCATGATTGCCGCACGGAGCTAGAACAGACAACAAAAATTGAATAGATATTTAAAAAGTACCTTTAAAAGTGTAATTATACAGAGAAATCGTGGCACAAAGCATTCGGCCGGTTGTACTCTAGCTGAACCATAACCTTGAAACCAAGCCATAGCCAATACAGATGGAGGCGCAAGACAGTGGCGGAAGCCATGTAAATGGGAGGGCATTTGGAAAGAAGCGGGCAGATATGTGAGTAGGTAGGTAATACACCTATCCCGAAACATTCTAGGGCATATATAGTTCAAATTTGTATGTAGTTTCACAGAAATCATTATGTCAGGCCAGCCTGATGGGGAGAGGGAGAGCCTTCAGGCCGAGCCTTTTTGGCGACCTTCCATAATTTTTTTATGAAATTTTTTGAGCATGTTCCTCATCAAGTCTAGTTTGTCCATACTAAATTTTAGCTCAAAATTCGATTGGGAAGGCATTCAAATATTTTTTTGAAGTTGACTGCGTTTTTATATGTATATTTTGACGCAATCAACTTCAAAAAAATATTTGAATGCTTTCCCGATCGAATTTTGAACTAAAATTTGATATAGACAAACTAGATTTTATGAGGAACATGCTCAAAAAATTTCATCAAAAACTTCCACCGGGAAGGTCGCCAAAAGGGCTCGGCCAGATGGCTCTCCCGTTCGGATGTTTTTACTTGGACTGTAATTTGCTGGTCTGGTCTGGTCTGGTCTGAACTGGTCTGGTCTGGTCTGGTAAGGTCTGGTTTCTTTGTATTTTTATAACTATCCAAGTCTGGTCTGGTCTGGTCTGGTCTGAACTGGTCTGGTCTGGTCTGGACTGGTCTGATCTGGTCTGGTCTGGGACAAATTACAGTCCAAGTAAAAACATCCGAAGAGTTCTCAATAGTTTCATCTCTACGGTATATGCCAAAACAATTCAGAATGTTTGGAGGTGATTCGGATTCTCCTCCTTGTTTGAAGCTGAACCAAAGGGGAATCAGAATCAGTTTCCAGAAGCTGGTCTCCCTCAGTTTCTAAAAAAAATGATTCTAGGAGTAAATTAGAGCACCACAATCACTTCTGCATTTCACCCAAACACTCCGACTTCTGCTTCTGCTTTCTGAAGGAGCAGAAGTTTTAAGAATCAGATCCAAACAACCCCTTATCCATATCTATCGTTTTTTCTATTTCTAGGGCAATAAGTCAACGTTCAGATTGTTGAATTTTTTCCTAAAATAATGTCAAATAAAAAAATATTTCCTAAAATAAGATTATGTTAAAATGTGAATTTTGCACTAATTTTGTTCAATTAAAATTAGTGCACTTTATATTGCCATTACTGCACGAAATTACTGCACTACCTTACTGCACATCCGATAATAATCATTGCAGTTCCGCCAAAATTATTTCTCTTCGCATTCACTTAAGGAATTTATTTATAGTTTTTATTATTTATGTTTTAGATTTAACAATTTTATTATTTTACGTCTAGTTACTGCTCTGTATTACTGCATTACTGGTCATAATTTAATCATTGCACAACAAATTTTCTTAATACATTCATTCAGTGTCATGTTCAACATATCAATCGTCATACTCCGTATATACATATGTATATTCACTACCGGCACTAATACTTATTGTCATGTTCACTGGCAATATTGAATTCCCTATTCACAAACCCAATTAGACAAACATCTTATATAAGCAATAATAAAGACTGAACTTTTCAAACGAGTATACCGAGTATAAGATAAATTCATTTAGAAAGGAGATAAAATTCAAGAAAAGAATTCATTTGGGGCTCGTTCGGTATAGTTTTGAGTTTTCTGTTTTTGGTTTTTGAAAAACAAAAAAACTGTTTTTTGTTTTCTATTCTCAATTTTTTGAAATTGTTTTGTTTTAGTGCTAATTCATTTTCAGTTTTGTCATTCCAAGAAACAAATAATTATTTTCGTAGTCCATGATAGTTCGATGATGGTCTCGGGAGTGGCCGGAAGCGGTCGGATGGTGCCCAGTGGTGGTCCGGTGGTGGACGGTGGTGGTCCGGTGGTGGTCTGGTGGTGGCCGGTGGTGATCTGGTGGTGGCATGTGGTGGTCCGGTGGTGGCCCAGTGGTGTCCGGCAGTGGTCCGGTGGTGGTCCGGTGGTGGGCCGGTGTGGTCCGGCGGTCGTCTGGTGGTGGTTTGGTGGTGGTCGGTGGTGGTCCGGTGGTGGCCCGGTGGTGGTCGGTGGTGGCCGGTGGTGGTCCGGTGGTGGCCAGTGGTGGTCCGGTGGTGGCCGGTGGTGGCCGGTGGTGGTCCGATGGTGGGCGGTTGTGTCCCGGTAGTTGGGTATTGAAGATAAATGATAACAAATTTATAGAAACTATGTTTTGTGGATTTCAGAATTATGTTTTCGTTTTCTAAAAACACTTACAAAGATTATGATTTTGGAAACAAAACCAACTTTTTACCAAACGTGTTTCTGTTTTTTTCTAAGAAAAAAAACAGAAACTGAAAAACAGAAACGTTACCGAACGCACCCTTAGAAACCAATTTTTTAATACGGAATATAAGATAAAGTTATTATGATAAAATAACCTTTCCAACTCTATTACACCCTTTTATGAAAAGCGGTTCCTACTACTGCATCTAGCGCGGCTACGCTCTGAAAGGGGAAGAGCCTAAAGCGACCCCTCTGTTTTTTGGAAGATTGATAGATCTCGTGTTTTCAAATGGGACGGGATGTAGACGTCGAAGACATAGATCTCGTTTGCCACGCTTCGTTTGCCAGGATGGACGACGGCGTACAGATTGATGGGCAGCAGATTGACGTCGAAGGGTGCCTTGGGATTCAGCTCGGGCGGACACCTACCCCATGTCGGAGTTCTGTGGAAGGAGGCTGATGGAGTATATGGCCCAGGAACCCCCGGCCCATAGACTCCTACTTCTCCCACACAAGTCCATTGAGCTCAGGAAACAACTCAGGCCCAAATACAACGGCCCAAGCCTCAAAGTAGCCCATAATACACACTGGGGTGCCCTCGGCCTCCTTGGCCGAAGGCTCCAGAACTCGCAGGATAGCCTTCTCTGGCATAAGAAGCTGCTGGGAGAAAACGGGCGAAAACATGAGCCTTCGGCATTCTCATGCCCTCGGCACCAGGGGAAGCCTTCGGCTGAACCAAGCCTTCGGCTACACAAGGAGCCCTCGGCTACACAAGGAGCCTTCGGCTGAACAAACTCAATCATCGAAGATTCCTTTTAGAGACTGAAGGTCCCGGATAGGGTAAAAGTCTAGAGGGGGGGGGGTGAATAGACTTTTAAATCTTTTTCAACTTTATGAAGTTTTCCCTCTACAGAAGTTGATCTATAATCTTTTGAGAGATTAATAGATGCACAGCGGAAGTCTTTACCCTTTATGTGATGAGAGTTTGACCACTTTCTAATTTTGGAAGATTTGACTTTGAACAGTGAGCAGTTGGCTTGGCAGTTGCCTGGATGGCAGGAAACTGCTGAGGCTGCTGCTAGTGGAAAACTGGAGTTTGGAAGAGATAATTATATGGCTTTGAACAGAATGATGAGGACTTTATGAGTATGTGTAGAGCTAAAGAGAATAAGGAGTTTTGCCTGAGCAGAGGTCTGAGCAGTTGGGTAAACCCAGGGAACTGCTAAGCCGTCTGCTGTGAAAGAAGGGAGTATTTCTGAGAACTGACCAACCACACCTTTTAGTAGTGATATTCAAAGCTTGTGGGAAACAGATGTCTCAAGGAAAAGTGAGTTATTAAGCAGTAGGATAAGCAGTAGAGTCAATTAAGACGACTGCTTAGGATGCTGCTGGCAAACTACGATCCCTTTAGTGAGAAGTGTTGGGTGTGTGCTCTGTTGAGTAAAGGATAATCAACACACGATGTATCCTGGTTCAGAGGTGGTGTAATCCTCCTACATCCAGTCCCACCCTCTTTCAGATGGATTTCACTAAAGTATTCAGCCCAATACACTTAGTGCCAATCTAGCCTTTACAACACTTAGGCCTAGATTGAAGGTTTTTCACAATGAGTATAACACCACTCAAAGTTACTCAGTCCTTAGACTTTTCTCAATCGATCCAGTGGGGATCAAAAGGTACTCTATCTATCTAACCACACTTTAGGATCCGAACAACTGTTCTCCTAAGTGTTTACAACCACTTGTGAAATGTTACAAGAAAGTTCTAACCTCCAACTATGAACTAAGCTCTAAAAATGTAAAAGTATTGATCTAATCTAAGAGCTTAGTGAAGCATGAGGCTAAGCAGAGAGTAAAGTTGAGTTTGCACTTTCTCTTTTGCTAGATATCTCGTATATGCTTTGATGAAAGTATTTCTCTACTTAGGATGCTCAAACTTATTTTGAACTCATGCTTCTACCTATATTTATAGGCCTTCATGGTTGATTAATCTCATCCGTTGGTTGAGATGGATTAATCTTGTTCGTTGGGGGTCTGGAAAGGACGAATTGTACATTTGTCTTCTTGTGCAGGAGCTTTTAATTTTTTTTGTTTTCTGTCTTGAATGATTGGGCTGCGGTATGGGTGTGTCTTCAGCCGCTGCAGCTTCACTCCAAGAAATCCTCCCATGCTGTAGGACCGTATATTTAAAGCTGGTCAGCTTTTGTCTTCCACTCAATATTCAATGTATTCGATCATCTCAAATGTGACCTATATTTAATCTTTGAGTAAAATGATATATGCCGGTAGGATTTAAATATCCTATGAAGGTAAAAAGTTACCTTATTGCATTTTTATGTATCCGGTAATATATCATTAATCTTAAAGATTGTACATTTATTTTTGTCACTTATGATTTAACTTAAAATGTTACTTTTGAAAATAAGACTCAATGTACATTTGTTTAGTATAGTGGCATCATCAAAATCTATCAAAATTGGAGACTAACAATTTCCCCCTTTTTGATGATGCCAAAACTATACAACACAAGAAACAACTGTTTTTATTGATTCGTATTGAGAGTATTGTACATTGGTCTATAGTCTAAAGTACAATAGTTTTTAGTTACTTTCGGACTTGAGAACTAATCTATTCTTGTTTCTTCTTAGCAGCTTCTTCCTTGGCTTTGGCTTCTTCTTCCTTTCTTCTTCTTATCTCAGCTTCTTCTTTGTAGAGTTTGTTTTTTCTTCTTGTTGCAGCTGCTTTCTTTGCTGCTGCTGATCTGGAGGAAGAGGGACCTGCTTGAGTTGTCCTTTCCCCCCTTTTTGGCATCATCAGCAGGGGTCTCACTCTCTTTGAAGAGTGCTTCTATTTCTGGGTCAGAGTCAGGATC